ACACACACTGCAGGTACTGCACCTGAGCACACTGCGCACACACACTGCAGGTACTGCCCCTGAGCACACTGCTGGCACCGAGCCTGAGCACACTGAACACACACTGCAGGTACTGCCCCTGAGCACACTGCAGTCGGGCCTGTGCAGCAGGCTGAGGGAGAGGCTCAGTAAGAGAGCCCTGAGCCGTCTGTCCCGCTGTCTCTCGCCAGGCCAAGTACGCGCGGCTGGCCAAGAAGTGGGGCGCTGCCAACCAGGCCCGCGAGGACGCCAGGAAGACTCAGGAGGTGAGGGGGGACAGGGGAGGGGTCAGGGGGGACAGGAGGGGAGGGGGGACAGGGCGCTCTCATCGGGAGCGCAGGTTCCAGTGTGACCCCCTCCGTTTGGAATCTGTGCTTCCTGCCGGGGGCGGTGTTACTGAGCGCTCACTGACGGGCTGCCCACACCTTCACACCGGCCACAGTCGCCGGCTGACACAGCGAATACCAGCTGTGCGTCGTCAGTTGCAGAAAGGTGCTGGGTTTCACTCTGTGCCGTGTGGAGGTTGGCACCTTCTGAAACGTCCAGTTTGTCCCGGGGAGCCCAGAGCTTCTGACTGCCGTCCCAGCGGAGCGATCTGACGTGTTTCTCTCTCTCGGCTCTCTCAGGCGGCCAGCGCAGGCACTCCATCTGCTGCCCCGTCAGCTGCGTACCGGTAAGCACATCCCCGCCGGCGCGCCCTGAGTTAGTGGCCAGAGCACACAGTCAGCCTTCAGCTGTGGCTGCCCTGCGTGCCTCCGTCTCATCGCTGTCCTCCTCTCGGCCAGCAGGAGCAGCACCACAGTGAGGACGATGCTGGACTCCCGCCGGGCCGAGCCGCCCGGCCAGACGCCAGTCGCGCCAGCAGGTCGGTCCCGTCGCCCCCCTTCTCTGCACCCCAGGCTCCCAGCTGTCTCCCCTCTGCCCCCCTGACTCCGCTCCCTCTCCCCCCAGCAGGCGGCGCTCCTCAGCCAGTGCAGATCAAAGCCGTCGCCCAGCCCGCCGCCGCCTCTGTGGTCAACACCGTGGTGACCCCCGTGCTGTCCATCATCAGCACCGCAGCGAGCACGGGGCCCACCTCCACCTCGGTCTCCGCCCCCGCGCCGCTCGGCCAGCCGGGGGGCCTCACCCTGAAGGCCGCGCCCCTGACCGCCGGGGTCACGACCTCGGTGGCGTCCAGCTCGACCCCCGGCGCTGCTCCCCAGCCCATCTCGATCCAGCCGCTTCTCATCCAGCTCCCACTGAGTGTCGCCGCCGCCCCGCAGGGGGCGCTGGTGAGCAGCCCCGCCCCGGGCATCGAGCTGATCCCCGTGTCGGCCGCCCCGGTC